GAGAGAGAGAGAGAGAGAGAGAGAGAGAGAGAGAGAGAGAGAGAGAGGAGAGAGCCCACTAAGAACGTGTGCAATATAGCCTCTTGTGGGTAAGCTCAGAAACTCCCAGCTCCCTTCCTTTCTTGATGTAGTCACCCAGAATCCATCAGTCCTATAGCACCCTTTGGCTGACAGCATTGCCCAGATGACTCTTATTGAGATGTGTACATAGCTAAAACTGCATCCCACTTGGGCCGGGCAAGGGAAACCAGCAGAAAGTGGGGCTTGCCATTGTTGGTCTGAGGGGAGCATGGTGAGGAAGTAACAGGGTAGGCAAGCCCGAGCAAGGGAAGCAAAATGGCGTCCAGGGTGGGCAAAGCTCTAAACAAGGAGCTAAGGAAAGCTTGCATTCTTGGAGACCTCACCATATGCTGGGGATGATGCTCAGAGCTTTCTGGTTCTATTTGTGATGGACAAAAGCAGAGGCAGCAAATGCTCAGCTTAGGAAGGAAATAAAAGTCAGGCAGAGACCCGCATTCTACAGTCCCGACAGCACCTGCTTTAGGACAGGGTTTCTTCCTCGAGCTAAGAAGTGGAAGTCTGGGGAAAAGTGGAGACCTACTGTACCATGAAAATAATATGGACGCAACTTTTGTCGGGCTGCTTTGTCATGAAGTCCTGGGTTCCAGGAAGGACTGGTGGGCTCATTGGCTCCTCAACAGGGGTCCCTAGGCTCTCAACTATGCATGAGCAAGGGACTCAAAAGATAAGCACAGAACCCCAAATCAGAACCCCAAGTCAGAGATGCTGGGGTGGACCTAGAAGTCATGTTCTAGTATCCCCTCCCACTCTGGGTGACTTCAGTGAACCATCAGGTTAGAGATCCACTAAGCTTTCTCAGGGGCTCTATCATCCAGTTGCACATGGTTGGAATTTGGAGAGAGGCTTCCCAAGTCACCTATGTTTAGGTCCCAGTGCAGATCAACAAGCCCAGAACCGGTGCAGCCTGGGTTCCGCTGGGCAAGTGAGACTGAGACACTGTGTTGTTTTGGAAGACATGCAGCCCACACTGACCTGTCAGTGGGCTCTCTAGTTTTACCAGAGAACGGAAGTGAGGGAAACCCGACCTGTGTTGTCATGGCCGATCCTAACTTTCCACAGGTCTCCTAGATCCAGCGTCTCCACAGTGAAGATTTCAATGCTGTCCCTTTCAAATTTGTCACTGTTGGTCTTGGAGGACTTCAGGAGGGTGATTCCTGCCAACCAGACAACCCCAGCATGACTGAATGTGACTGAATGGTTCTAAGACTCTCCCAGCCTGGCTCATCCACTATCCTTTCTTCTTCTTCATAATGACCAACCTTCTGAATTTCCACCAAACCATCAAAGATCTAAGATGCCATGCCTCCCAGTGGACGTATGTGTGTGTGGTCTGTATGTGTGTGTATGCTGAGTATGTTTGTATGGTGTATGTGTGGTATATAGATGATGTGTGGTGTGTATGTTATGTGTGTGTGTCTATGATTTTTTAAAAAACCTTTTCATTTAAACTTGCAATTCCCCGTCTGCATCTAAAGAAAACACCTCTCCATGCCCTGGCAGGAGACAGCAGAAGGGCGTCCAGCCAGTGTGGGCTCTTCTCCCACAAGCCTGGCAGTTCTCTGCATGGGGACAGAGCCAGTGACAAGGTCACCTTCCCCACGCTCATGTGGGGACGCTGTGTGCAAACACTGTCTGGAGACACACCTGGACTCACAAGGAGAGACGGCTTCCGGTGCCCTCCCTGGCTATGGAATTTGGGGCTGGCTGTGGTGTCGGCCTGTAACCTGAGGTGGACTCAGTCTTCACCATCCTCTCCTACCTCCTCCTACCATGCTGCCTGGAAATCCCCTCCCCAGGTCGAGGCCCTCGGGCAGAAAGCCTTCTGATGGACAGACTCAAGTGCTCAGAAGGACAGACAGATCCTGGTGCCCAGTTCAGCCTCCTGCCATCCAATGGTCCTGGGGAAACTGCTTGATGTCTATGACTTGTATCTTCCTCAACCTTTGGAAAGGTGGCCTGGTACTCTCCCCACAGGGCCACTGCATGGTCTGAAGAAGGCAAGGATTCTAAGCGCTCAGGAATGTGGCTGACAGCAAAGAGCCCAGGCGAGCAAGGGCAGTGGCCAGAGCCCTTCACTCAGGGACCATCACAAGCACAGTGATTATCAGCTGTGACCCAATTCATTATACACCACCTGCTTTACTTAACCCCCTAAGTAATAGTGACAATCGAAGTTCATTGACCCCTAAATTTTAAGTGTTCTGTGTAATAAAACTCACAGCCCTGAGACATGCATAAAACTTTATCTCTATCTAACAAATGGGAAAGGCACAAGGTGGCTAAGCAACTTGCCCCTGATCACACAGCCAATACCAGAACGGAATTTGAACCAATCAATTAGGTTTCAGAGCTATGCTTTGGATCAGCACATCACTGCTGTACAAGGGAAGCTTGAGGTTAAGTCCATTCGTTCTTCAGTGGTGCTCAGCAGAGAACTTCAAGTTAACATACGGAGATTCCTTGAAGAATCGTTTCAACTTAGACACAGGCAGAATGGCCAGGGGAGGATGGAGTGGAAGGTGCCACCCTCACCGAGTTCCCGTCCAGCGTCTGGAACAATGCTGGTACTCCCTGAAGACCTTACAGGAGGGGACCCTGGGACCCTCCAGGGCTGAGTTTTATTGGACTTCAAAGAGTCCAATCACCTTTCTTCCAGGTGATTTTGGGGTACAGTTAGGACAGGGGTTCCTTTGCTGCTGCACCAGGAGCAGCTTCCCCCACTTTGTCTCAGGGGACCCAGCACTGTGTTCGGCTGAGGGACAGGTGTGGCCTGGTCTTCCGGGGAACCTTCTGCTCAGTCCGCCAGGGCGCCCAGGGAAATGCTGGTTCTTACCATTGTCGTCTTGCGTGCCGAAGAGTGTGATGAAGACGTTGGCATCTGTGCCGGCATTCTTCTTGTCCCCGGTCTTGATGGTCACTGAGAATGTGGTGGATTTATCTGCCGGGGAAGAGGACAGAGAGGTGAACCACAGATCACCTGGGGATCCCAAGGAGCGGGAGAGAAAGCTGCTTGACCTGTCCACTGTGGCTCTGTCATTCCAGTTCCTCCCTTGTATCATCCTATACCTGTGAGTGTCATGGTCACCAAAAAACATGTCTGTTCATGGGGTCCATCCTGTAAATGTTCTTTTTTTTTTTTTTTGCAGTGTCTTTAACTCCAGAAACCCCCTCACGATATAGAAACATCTCTGCCCTGCCTACAGGAAGCCCTTGTTCTGTAGAAGTGGTACGTGGGTCAGGGAGGCATGAAGTGACTTGTGTCAGCAGTCCATAGCCAGGAACTCTGGTAAGACCTCTCTGACCTCTCCAGACTGGACAGGGCTTTAGGACTGCAGATGAGCATCATGGGCCTCCAGTCAGCTAATACTTTTTCACATAGAAATACACCTCAGGAGCCCAGAAATGTCCCTGGAGGACAGAAGATAAATCAGAACCAGCGCAATCATTTTGTCCCTGAACAACAACCCTAGCTGTGAACCACCTTATGCCGAGTCTTATGCTAGGCATACGGGAGCCTGACCCCCCCACACAATGTTTACAATCTCTCCATGGTGGGAGGAGAGGGAAGGACAGCTAGAGTATCCAGGAGCAAGTGCCCAGAACCCAGAAGTAGGGAAGAAAACAGAGGGGAGAGGGAAAGAGAAGTGGGGATGAGGGGGAGGAAATGGAGGGAGAAGAGAAGAGATACGGGGGATGGGAAGTCATCTCCAATACAAGGAACCTTTTTGTTCCAAAGCCAGGTTGTCAAGGGGGTTATTGTCACCATGTCCTCCACCCTCCTCATCTTCGCTGGGTAGCACATAGGACTCATCCACTGGCAACAGCTCCCGGGACAGCTGCCCATCATCCTCCTCCACTGCTAGCCACCTTTGGCACGGGAAGTAGTACCTGGGGGGTAGGGTAAGGAAGATTAGGGTGTCTCTAAAATAATCTCATATGGGAGTTGAAACAGGTTCAGAATGAGGGACCTGCCTGGGCTCAGACTCCGCTGTCTGACCTCCACGGCATTAAACGCCCATTCGGCCCAGTCTAGGAATTACCCACAGTCTGCTTGAGATAAATAATAAATCCAGAGACACACTCAGCCTGTGATAGATTGAGTGGAAAAATCTAGAAAGAGAGGGGCTTATGAGAACTATTATTACGCCTTCTTGGACAGTCTGAGTTACTCCTCTGGCATAGGGCTGCACAAGGCAGGTGCGCCACACCCATGTATGGAGTCCATGAACTTTGATGACATTGGGGGAAGAGAGTGTCTCTAAGAAGAAGAAAGTGACCTCACAGTCATCAAGGGAGATGACGTCCGTGAAGACTCCTCCATGAAAAAGCATACCCAGTACACTGGAGGGGCCCAGAGAGGAAGGTGGGTCAGAATGGGGGAGGGTGGTAGACAGGTTCTTAAGGACTCACTTCTACAGTTCAATGCTCTGGTTCCTGTTTCCAGACTCCTGCTAACCCTCATGTGGTCTTGAGCAAACTCCTTCCTAGGATTGGCAGATTTCGATAACGGAGGGCTGGGACTCCCAGGCATGTTTGAACTTTACACAAACAATGGATTAAGTTTTTGTGTGTATCCTGCCTGATACTTGGCACATACTTGTGTGGCTAAGGGTAGGCTCTCTGTAGGAATCTGCTAACTCAACCACTGCTGCTCTTATTTCTTTCCTTCCCCCCTTTTCTTCTCCTCAGTATGCCAAGGTACCCTTGGAGGCTGTAGGTCAATGTCTAAGACCCAGGACAACTCACAAGGTCTGAGCATGCAGCCTCCCTACAAGCTGGGGGCCATTATTCTCCATCTGCTCGTCTTCTCCTTGCCCTGATGTGAAAGGGCCATTAAGAAAATAGCTCAGCTCTGGGAGGGCGGTATACTGGAAAGTATTTCCTCTTGTCTATGTCCTCAGCAACTCCAAATGCTAGAGAAGCCGATCAGAGGGTGATGTCAGCCCCACAGTCAGATGGGCGAGGAAGATAGACCGGGAGGGCAAGAGGGAGTCACTGTGCTAAACCAGCCCTGGTCACAGTGGATGATTTTTCTGATGTGCTCTTGTATTTGATTTGTCAGTATCTTATTGGGCATTTTTACACCAATGCTCATGAGTGAGATTGGTCTATAATTTTCTTAGTAATGTCTTTGTGTGGTTTGGGCACCAGGGTAATTGTAGCCTCATAAAAAGAGTGTGGCAACATTCCTTCTGTTTCTATTGTGTGGAACAATTTGAGGAGCATTGGTACTAGTTCTTTTTTGAAAATCTTGTAGAATTTTGCACTGAAACCATCTGGTCCTGGGCTTTTTTTTTTTTTTTTTTTTTGGTTGGGAGACTTTTGATGACTGTTTCTATTTCTTTAGCAGTAATAGGTCTATTTAATTTGCTTATGTGGTATTGATTTAATTTTGGTAAGTGATATTTATCCAGAAAATTGTCCATTTCCTTTAAGTTTTCCAGCCTACAATTCATAATCCCAGAGAAGCTAGACAACAAAGAGGACCCTAAGAGAGACAGACATGGATCTAAACTACATGGGAAGTAGAAAAAGACAAGATCTCCTGAGTAAATTGGGAGCATGAGGATCATGAGAGAGAGTAGAAGGGAAGGGGGAGAAAGGGAGGAGGGCAGAGAAAAATACATAGCTCAATAAAAACAGTAAGAAAAAGAGCCCCTGCACTGGGAGAGCACGGAGTAGATGCTGTGAAGGTGCCTCTGTGGAGACAGGTGCGGCTCTACTTGAGGATGTGTGTGTGAGTCCACAGTCAGACTTCCACCCGATCAGATGAGACGAGAGCCAGCAAAGGCAGTGACAGGGACACTCACAGAGAAAGAGCCTAGGAGGTAAAGGGGGTGGGGACAGAAATGGAAAGCAAAGGCTCACCCTCCCCACAGGCACCTGCCGAACACACACTGCACCAACACGTGTTTCCAGCTGTGGAGCTCCACCTTCCCCGAGACACCTGCAGCAGGATTCTGCAGGCCGCAATGCTCATGCGGCATGCCAGCCAGCAGACCTCCTCTTGGAACCTGCTTCCACCAGGCAGAAGCAGATCTCAGGCCAGGGCTGGAAACTGGCTATCTAGCCTTCTCTCCCCCAGGGCTAGTAACCACACATGGAAGTCCAGGGTAACTGGGTCTGGTGACCTTTCTGTCCTCCCACAGGAGTAAGTCCCACTCAAACAGGTCTCTGGAGCAGGAAGATGTAGCAGGCAGGATTGGTAAGGGATAGAACATAGGACTGAGCAGGGGTGCTGGATCACAGAGGCAAAACACACGCCTCAGACCCGCGTCTGAATGGGTAGGAGGGTCACATGAAATCAGAGCTTGGGACCAGTTTTAAACACACACACACACACACACACACACACACACAGTGGCGGTGGTGCACATGCCTTTAATCCCAGCACTTGGGAAGGAGAGGCAGGTGGACCTCTGTGAGTTCAAGGCCAGCCTGGTCTATAAGAGCTAGTTTCAGGACAGGTTCCAAAGCTATAGAGGAAACCCTGTGTGCACACACGTGTGCACACACATGCACACACACACACACATGCATACACACACGCACACACCTCACTTGAAAGTAAAAACTGACTGACGGGACTGCACAGTCAGTGGCCCTGAGCCTGGAATCCTCACTACCAGAAAGGCTGGGGTAGAAGGATCAGAAGCCAAGGCCTGCCTAGGTAACTGAGTGAGACCCTACTTCACATTAAAAGCAGAAGAAAGCTAAGTTGTATACTTAGCTTGGTGCACTGAGAATGGCCCAAATAAATCAGCAAACAGACCAAGATGGTATTTCCCAGTTTTGTGTGCAACCTCACAACAGGACAACACTAAGTAAAAGTAGCCAGACAGTGCTGCTAATGGCAATCACCCCAGTCTAGAACTCAGGAACCTTGAACTTGGCCATTACTCAGTCAAGCCTTTGTCTGCGTGCTGGGGAACCACAGTAGTGACAACAGAGAGGAAGTCACTTCTTACATGTGCCACTCTGGAGAGATGATAGTGACGGAAGGTCAGATGAAAGGGATCCAGAGGAAGAGTAGAGAGGGCATGCCAAGGGTCCATGAGGCAGTGACAGTGGGCAGAGACTTGCCTAAACACAGGGACAGGGTGCTCTGGGGACGGACCACCAATGTAAAGGCTCCAGGAAGATCCATTTTTGTTTGGTTCAAGGAATAACAAAAACTGAGCAAAATGAAGGGGAGAGGGTAAGGCAGGCGGGGACCAGAATGGAGAGACTGTAGAAGCCAGGCGGGACAGGCTTGTGTTCATCCTATAGAAGACAGGAGCCTCTAGAGGTTTTAGGGCAAAGGTCTGCAGGATTCTGGTCTTGGTGACACAAAATGTCAAGTTAGGAGGTTGTGACCAGAAGGGTGAAGCTGTAGGATGGCACCATATATACTTGTGCTACTCTGAGCCAGGACCTACCATGTTCAATTAGCAGGTGGGGGTAGATGTGAGACAGAGAGGGATCCAGGAGATTGAGAGGAAGGTGAGGGTGGTGTCAGTGTTCTCAAACCCCCTGACTCCTGAGCATTTTCCTGCCCTGTCAAGGCCAGGAGAGCCCAGGAAAGGTCCTGGACCCCTGGAGGTTAGCAGTGTGTCTAGGGAACCAGCTGCTGTGATTCTGTCTTCTGGACTTGTGAGAATGTCTCTTTTTCTCCAAGATTAAGCTGTGCTCATTGTCAGTGTGAGGGCTGCTGAAGACAGCTCATTACAGACCCTCACTGAAGACGATTTCTTACTAACGAAGAACAAACCAGCAACATGTGCACAGAAAAACATGGGGCAGGATGGAGAAATGAGGAAGGACGCCAAAACCAGCGAGAGGCCTTCCTTCGCCAGAACAGGAACACACTCTGCCTGGACACAGACGCAACCAGAACCCCAAGCTGTGCAGAGTAAAAAGTTCTTGCAAATTCCTGAGATGCACAAAAGAACAGTTGGACAGGAGAGGAAATGTACCTGGGGTGGGGGGGGTTGGCACTTTAATTTCTAAATATACAATTCCCCACACATTCATTTAATGGCAGAACAGTCAAACTCCCAAGAGGAGCTTTTTTTTTTCTTTTTCTTTTTCAAAATCACTTAATGTCTTGATTTGGAAAAGGTAAGAATAGCTAATATTCTTACAGGATAATGAAAGAGGACAAGTGCTGACAGACATTCAAATAGATTACAAAGCTACAATAATTTTTAAATTGTTGGGCTGGACCAGAAATGTCAAATCAACAGAACCGAGTAACTAACCCTGCCTGAGCCGGAGGGGAAGCTGAGCGCAGGCTCCCTCCAGCCTGTCTCTCAGCTTTCTGAGCTGAAAGCCTTTGACTTGCTGGGGCACCTTGGGAAGTAAGTAGGGCAGTGCCAAAAAGCCAGTTTCCTAGAGGAAGAAATGACAGCCATAATGAGGCAGTGATATGTGCTGAGTAACCTAGCATGAGCTTGGCAGAGGATCCATGCAGGTCAGGATCCAATGGGTACCAACAATGGCAACCAGAACACTGAGTTATCAGTGAGGTGTGCATCAGGTATCCTTGAAATGACCAGATAGGGTTTGTGGGGGAATAAGGGTGAGTCCTGTTACTTCCTGTCTTGTATGGAGGTTGGCCCCAAAGGAGGACATGGTTCAAGACACAGCAGGCTGTAGGTCAAGAAATTCATCCAACAAATATTTATTTATTAGGGGCTTGCTAAATTTCCCATAGTGTCAGACCCTCAGCAGCCCTGATGCCATTCCAGACCAGCATGCTTTCCTCTGCTGTCATTGAACTTCACATGGCCCTCTGCCAGTTCCATCACCCTGGAACCCCTCATCTAAGAGGCAGTGTGACCTAGTGGTAGGAACACAGCATAGCTCATATCAGTGGTCTGAATACCAGGCCCTGCCCTGGTACCAGTTGGTTCTGGGGTGTGGGGGTTGGAAAGAAAACAGACCAAAGGTAGTGGCACTACTAGGAGGTGTGGCCTTGTTGGAGGACATGTGTCACTGTGGGAGTGGCTTTAAGGCCTCGCTTGCTCAAACTTCCCTCAATGTGACATCAGTTGACTTCCTATTGCCTGGAAGATGGAGAACTCTCAGCTTCAGCTCCATGTCTTGCCTGAATGCCATGCTCCCCAGCATGATGATAATAGACTGAACCTCTGAAACTGTAAGTGAGTCAACGCAATTAAATGTTTTTATTTATGAGTTGTTGTGGTCATGGTGTCTCTTCACAGTAATAAAAACTCTAACTAAGACAGAAGTTGTACCAGGAGAGTGGGGTATTGCTGTGGTAGGCCTGACTACGTGTCTTTTTGGAGGAATTTGGCTTTGGTACTTTGGGTTATGAAAGCAGTAGAAAGTTTTTAGCACTGATTAATGGGCCATCCTAGTAGGAGCATGGAAGACAGAGGTGATAAGAGTTATTTGAATTAAGGGGGGCTCACTCAAGATGTTTCAGAGAAGAATTATGGTATGTTGCTTAGTGACGGTTCTTGTGGTAAAGAATGTGGCTGCCTTTTGCCCTTGTCCAAAGAGTCTGCCTGAGGCTAAAGTGAAGAGTTTCAGATTAATTACATTGGCAGAAGAAATCTCAAAAGAGCCTAGTATAGACTCTTATATGGATATCAGTGGTAACTCTAAAGAAGATAAATAAGGAGCAAGTTTAACAAAGAAAAATATTTGAGGAAATACCAGAAAGTATAATGGAGTTAAATTCTTTGTTCAAGGAGATAAATGGATTAACAAATGGAATAAACAGAGTTATAGGTAACCTCAGGGTAAAACTCCACCCAGTTAAATTTCCAACTTGTGAATAGGAATTGAAGAAAAACTTAGAGCCAGGTGTGGTGGTGCACACCTTTAATCCCAGCCCTGAGAAGGCAGAGGCTGGTGGATCTCCGAGTCTGAGGCCAGCCTGGTCTACATAGCAAGTTCAAGAACAGCCAAGTTTAGGCAGCAAAGGACAGAAGGCTGGTGAAGATGTAATTGAATGAGAGTCATGTTCCAGCCCCAATAAGCAGCAGAACTTGGCATCTTTGGCCACATGATTCTGGCTTTAGAGTTAAGGTGAGAAGAAAGGTGTAATATGAGGCTGCGGGCAGGCCTGCTTTTCATCCTGCCTGGCTCCTGCACAGCTAGCTTAGCCCCACTGAGGCTAAGTCACTGAGGCCAGGCATGTGTCAGGGGTGTCCCTGAACAGAGGCCTAGTAGAGAGGTCATTGTGTGAAGCTGTGAAGTTGAAGCCTGAATTGCCTTCGAGACCCCAAGATGTTAGAGATGCCAGAGTTGTGGGATACCTGCCAAGGAGAGCTGCTAACAGGGAGTGGAACCAGCCCAAGAGAAAGAAGTGTGCTACAGTCAAACCTGAATGGAGTTTGAGCTCTGAAGAGTGTTTTGACATCAGACATGGAGATGAAGAGTTTGGCATTTTCCCACTTGGTTTTTGCTCTTACTTTGATCTAGCATTTCTATGTTCCTTTCCTCGAGTTTTGGAATGGTAATATATGCTCTGTACCATGTGTTGGAAGTATGTGATCTGTTTTTTTATTTTAATTTTTACAAGGGATTACAGTTAAGAGATTGCCATGCATCTCAGAAGAGACTTTGGACTTAGAAACAAGTTTGAGACTGTTGTGGACTGTGGGGACTTCTGAAGTTGGGCTAAATGCAGTTTCCCAGTAGAGAGTCTTTTACAGAGATTGAATGCTGTGAAAAACTGGAAAAGTTTTCTACATGGCCCTTTTAGGAAGTGCTGCTGATCTCTGGCCCCTAGAGCATTAAAACCAGATGCTCTAAGTTTATTTCTCCATGGAGAGCTGGGGGTGAACTGCTGAAGGGTGTGTTCTACAGGGCTGTTATCTGACAGGACTGGAACTTCTGGGAGGGAGAGAAGAGAGGCAATGCTCACCCTGATTCCTTACGGTCATCCTGTCCTTAGCCAGCCCACCCTCACCCTCAGACATCAAACTCCAGTACCCAGTCCTCTCTCCAGGGCTAGTTTAGTGCCAGGCATAACCTCCTTTCCCTCCCCTCAACTCCTACTCACGTGATCTCATTATTCATGTCGGTGATGTCTACCCTGTCCAGGAACCAGCCTGGTCTGTTGCCTGTGTTGTCATGGCGAATCCGAATCTTGGTCAGAGACCCCAGGTCAATGGCGTAGATGGTAAAGGTATCTGTCTAGAAATAGAGAAAGCATGACTCAGAGGGGTAACACATATCCCCAACTGCACCCCATGCTGCCCTCAGCTCTAGTCCCTTGAGCACCCAAAGGAAGACCCTAAAACCCAAAGCAACTAGAGCTAGGATGTGGAAAGTACATCTTCTGGTGTTAGCGCCATAGTTTTTGGGTTTTTGAGCTCCAGGGGTTGTTAGGCTCATCCTGACCTTGTCATCCTCCCTCCTCTGCCTCCCAAGCGCCAAGGTTTCTGGTGTGTACTGCGATGCCCAATTCTTACACTGCTGCATTATAACCCAGGCCTACAGGGACATCTTCTCACTTGCATTGATTGTATTAAAGAAGATAAAGGAAGGAGAAAGACAGTGACTTTGAGGGAAGCAGAAGAGAAGAGAGCTGGAGTTCACATTTGTTGTTTTGTTGTTGTTGTGTTTTGTTTTTGTTTCAAGATAGGGTTTCTTTTGTGTGGCCTTGTGATGTTAGAAGTCCTTCTGTATATGTGTTGCTCTTATTGGTTAATGAATAAAGAAGCTACTTTGGCCTGTGATAGGGCAGAATAGAGCTAGGCAGGAAAACTAAACTGAATGCTGGGAGAAAGAAGGCAGAGTCAGTGAGACACCATGTAGCTGCTGCCTGAGGAGTCAGACATCAGAATCTTGCCAGTAGGTAATCACCTTGTGGTGATGCACAGATTAATAAAGATGGGTTGATTTAAGATGTGAGAGCTAGCTAGAAATACACTTAAGCTATTGACTGAATAGCATTGCAGTTAACACAGATTTCTGTGGGATTATTTTGGGAGTCTACGTGGCTGGGAAACAAACAAGCAGTCTCACCCAACAGCCTTGGCTGTCCTGGAAGTAGTTCTGTAGACCAGGCTGGCCTTGAACTCACAGAGATTCAGCTTCCTCTGCCTCCCAAGTGCTAGGACTAAAGGCATGTGCCTCCAGCGCCCAGCTGGATTTCATATTTTTGATGAGCTTGTGTGGGAAGGGTACACTGAGATCTTATTCCCAGTGTACACATGTGTATAATCTCTTTCAACCCTGTTTGTATTGAACACCCTCCATGATCCTTCCTGAGCAAATCCAAGGAGACTACAAAATAGAATATTTGGACACAGCCCTCACTTAGGCAGCAGATGAATGGAATATAAGCCATATGTTCTATGGCCTACAAACATCTGTGGGTCACCACATGCATCAGAGGAAGGAGATAAAATGGAGACCCAGTAAGTGGATGGGGTTTTTTGGATATATCTTTAAAAACCACTTTATTTTGGAAAAAAATTCAAAACCTTCAGAAACCTTGCAGAAATAGATAAAACAGTGGCCCACCTTCTCTTAGATGTTGCCCCTATATATACAACATTAGTTGGATTACTCCATTTTGTCTCTCTTGTATGTTGTCTGTTTTTTTTTTTGGAACAGTTTACAGTAGGTGGTAGATACTAGGATCCTTGACCCCTAAATATTTCAATGTGGGTCCCTAATAACAAGGACATTCTCATTTACCATCATGCAGTGATCAAACTTGTGTTAACTTCAACACAATACAGTCGTGAGTACTTGAGAATAGAGATAATGTTCTGAGAAACACATTGCTAGGTAAGTTCACTATGCAAACATCATACTGTGTGTTCACATAATTTGAGATGGTTCAATGCCGCTAGCTATAGCTAGTATAGGTGGTATACTCGTAGGGGACCACATCACATTCGCCATTCATTATCAGCTGAAATGTCACATGGCTGTGCTATTATCCAACATGCAACTAGTATTAACACCAACTGCAACAACTCTACCAGCCTGTCCTCTACAGGAATGTTCCAATCCAGAAATACAATGGCGATAACTTTCCAAGATAAGGCACTGAGATGCAGAAACAAAACGCAGTACTTAATCATGGGAGGGATGCTGAAAGAAAACATGGGTAGAAAGGGAACAGCTCGAGGCATGAGCTGGAAAGTATTTTAGCGGATCTTATTTATTGTCCCTTCCTGTGTTGACAAGAGAACCTGGTCTGGAGGGAGGGTCAAGAACACGAGGAAGAGAGGAGGGAGGGACAGGTGGATTTGTAAAATCTTGAAGAACAAGAGAACAGCTTTCTTCGGCCCTCATTTCCATGCCTTTCCCTTATTACTGGAAGAGTGAGGGGCATGCATGTCATGCATGACTTCTCTTACTGGGAAGAAGCATCAGGCTTTATGACCACTCTTTCAGGGTCATGGCAGGAATCCCTCTGCCCCTGTCACACAGCTCCACCACACTCTCCAGACCAGACTAAATCATTTCTGTCCACCAAGCCTCCCAGAGTGTCACCGCTTTGTCTTGTGAGACAGTCTCACTATATAGTTGAAACTGGCCTCAAACTGAAGGGCTGGAGAAATAGCTCCGCAGTTAAGAGCATTTGCCCCTCTTCTAGAAGACAAGATCTAATTCCCAGCACCCACATGGTCATTTACAGCTGCCTATAACTCCAGTCCCGGGGGATCTAACACGCTCTTCTAACCTCTGTGGGCATCGAATACATGCATTACACAGACATACATGCAAGTGACCTGCACACAAAAGATAGAAATACATCTAGCTTCTAAACTCAGTTCACAGCGTCTGAATACAGTATTCTCTAACTGACCCTGAGGACCAACTACCCTATGGGATTCCTTTGCGGGGACCTGCCTCTAGCCTTTTCATAACTCTCCACAAAATACTGCTACTTACAGAAGGGCAGCTGCAGCCAGGCCTCGTTGGGCTGAATGTAACACCCTGTTAGACACACAGCGGACAAGATACTGGCTGAGGTTGCTGTGGGCAAAAACGATTCCATATCTGGTTCTCACCCACCCAGGGGCCAGAAAGTGCTCACTCTACCTGGCCCTGCTCGAATTTGTTGGACTTGTCTGATTTCTTCAGAGGCCGCTCCCCTGTGTCCCCGTATTCTTCTCCGTAGATGGTCAGGTAGACGTTGGCATCAGTGCCAGCCTTGGGCACGTTCCCTGTGATCACCTGGACCTCGTAGGTGTTGGCTGGAGACACAGAAAAATGCAGCGTTGAGAACACCGGGGCCACAAGATAGAGCAGTGTCCCAGGCCCCTGGACCCAGGGAGACCCTGGAAGCAGGAAGGTTCCACTGCTATGACCATACCAACTTATTCTCCTCCCACCCAATGCTTGCATTTGCCATGAAATCCAGAGCCATTGGACCCCAGCAACCTTCCTATTTTACCCCCATCTATCAAGATGTGTGACAAGCCCCTCCCAAAGCCAGTGTTTCCCCTGGTCAAGGGTAAGGTTTAGCTCCAAACAGGCGGGTCAATGGTTACTTTCCATGTGCAAGTCAGGAGAGGTATTTATGGACCACAGTAGGATTCCACCTACTTAGTCTCTACCTGAGGGACACTGAGTCACCCTGCCCCCTCCCTGATCCCTTTAGGAGAAATATCCCCCCCCCCAAAGTTTTTTTTTTTTTTTTTCCCAGGCTTACGCTCAGGACCAGGTCGACCGGCTGGGACCAATTCCACGACAAGTTCATTGTCCTCCTTGCCCCGGGCCAGCCAGCGGTTAACTTCAAACTTGTACTGTTCAATCACCTCCTGCATCCCTGGCCCAAACTCCTCCTCTTCTTCCTCCTCCTCTGTCTCCTCCTCTTCCTCCTCTTCCGACGAGGACTCCTCCGACGAGGACTCTTCTTCCTCATCGCCCTCATCCTCCTCATCACTTCCTTTCTTTCTCTTCTTCTTCTTCCTCTGCAGCTTGGCCTTCAGCCTTTCCTTCTTCAGCAACTGCCGCAGTTTGTCCTTCTCCTTCTTCTTCCGGGCCTCCTCCTCGGGTGTCAGGTTTGCCTCCTGCACCACCAAGTGCCTCAGCCACACCATGTCCACGAACCAGCTGGGCCCAAAGCCCTCGCCCGTGTGTCCCAGGCGGATCTTGTAGATTTCACCCACATCTGCCGCTTCCAGCTGTGTAAAGTGCAGGGCAGTGGCTGACATGGCCCCTGCCGTCCTCCCAGCCTCTCTCAGTGCTGTGTGGCACTGCAGGGAGGTCTGGGCCCCCACTCAGAAGCTTGAAAGTTCCTGCTCCCCCACTGTGCCTGGCCCTTCCCCAGGTTTAAGGAAAAACATTTCTTTCTACTCCTGTGGCATCAATCTCCCTGTTCTTTAGCCCCTACTCTTCCTCCTATGTCTTCATTCACACAGCTCCCTCACAATGCTAGGATTTCCCTTAGTCCCTTCTCACCTCCAGCTCCAACCTATCCATAATCCTGGGCCTCATTATGACCCTAAACACACACAGACAGAGCCTGGAGGCTGTGGCACAGGCCTTTAATCCCAGCACTCTGGAAGCATTGGCGGGGGAGTTCTGTGAGTTGGAGGCCAGCCTGGTCTTCAGAATGAATTTAGGAGAGCCAGGGCTACCCAGAGAAACCCTGCCTCAAAAAACAAAAACAACCTAACAAACAAACAAACACAACACAGAAAGAGCCTTCGGTGTGGTCACTATTAGGAAGATACATTTAGCAATAAACAAAGAAACATGTTTCTCCTTTGTAACATATCAAATAAACAAAGTCCTCAAACATTTTCTCCAAGGTTCCCAACCTTGCCAGTCGCACAGACCCTTCAGCTCAAACGGGGCCCAGGATGTAGTTGGCCCTGGTCCTATCCTGCCAGGGAGGTGCTCCAGAGCTACGCTGAGGTTTGAATATGAAATGACCCCCACAGGCTCCTGTGTCTGAACACCCAGTCTTCAGAGGGTGGCACTGTTTTGAAGGCTGCGAACCCTTTAGAGGCAAGGCAGGAGTAGACCTCACAGTCTTAGAGCCCGGCCACATTCACTGCTGCTTTCTATTTTGTCACTATAGATATGACGTGACCGGCTGCCTCAATCCTGCCCCCATGCCTTCCTTATCATGATGGACCCCATCATTTTCAAACCATCAACTGAAACAAATCCTCTTGTCCTTACACTGAGTTTTCCAGTATTTTGTCACAGTAATGAGAAAATAAATTAATACAAGCCATGGGCTCCTCTTAAGGACAAAGACCACCCTTTGGAGTCTCTTTCCATGGGCCGAGGGCACAGTGAGTCAGCCTCAGATCCATTGTCACTCTGTCCTGAGTTCCACAGTCTCAGGAAGAGGGAGCTGGGGTTCAGACTTTGAGGGGAGTGCAACACGAAGTGTGTTTAGCTCTCTTGAGCACCTTGAGATTGAGTTCATCTTCACGCTCAACTCTTTTCAAAGTCTAGTTCCACCTGTTAGCCCATTTGAGCACCAACGATCAGAGGCCTGAGGCTGTCAGAGTCATGCACTTTAATGCCAGACCCAGATGAGAACACAGCTCTCCCGATTTCATGTTCAGGAAACCACAGTGGTTGGAGCCAACCCACCTTTGTCAGGAAATCATTAAGCAAGATGGTGACCAGGGCCTATGTAAAGCGGAATTTCTCTTTCTTTGTTATTTAGGGGATAGGAACTGTTGGCTCAGTTATATTCCTGTGACTGCGTATCTGACCCTGGCTCTTTTCACTGCTATGGGGACTATGAAGCCAACCAGGCAGTAATGACAAACTGGTAATACTGATGAGGAAGCCATGGAGGTCCCAACAGGTCAACACATAGGCCTGGGCTTGTCAGCAGTGTAGGAGGACATAGGAACCCATAAAGGCCTATACCTGTAATGTTCCAGACATTCGTGACCCTGGCTGGCTCCGATTCAGGGCCTTTCCTGGGCACTGGAGAAAGCTCTTCATTGAAGACCAAGGTGTTTGTGGTCAACCATGGAACACCCAGCATGAACATGCTTCCTATGCACTCATGTCTGCAGATACACACGCATGTGTTTGTACATATACATACATACACACATGAATGCTTTCATATCCAGCATAAAATACCCAGTGGCCTCTGCATCCTCCCCATTACCAGCAATGGGCTCACATCTACATCATTTTTTCCTTCTAGTCAAAGACTTGCAATGTGGAGAGAGGAGGCTCAAAGACATTAAAAACTCATTAGTAAACTCTGCCACTTCCCAGGAGCCTGCCTGAGAAATACGGACTTGTCACCAGCCTGGGAGAAGCTCAGAGTCAGAGCTATAGACAGGGAGTAGGCAGAGGAACCCAGCCCTGGTGCCATCATCGACGAAATAAGAACAAGCCACTGCAGACAGTGTATCAGGAATCCCTGACTGAACTTCCATGAGAAAACTATCTCCGAGAACACACCCACTCCCAAAGGCTGGTTTGACTGCTTTGGGGGTGTGGATGAGGTAGTACGTTTCCTCAAAGATCACCAGGCAACGCAAGTACAAGACCAGGAAGGACCCCAAACTCAGGTCCAAGAAACAAGTTACCATTCATGGGCACGAGGTGGACCATGGATGTGCATCCACATTTTCTCCTTCCCAGTTCAAACCTCTACACTCAGCTCATTGCTTCCAGGGGTCTCCCAGGAACGCAACAGAATTTAGTTCAACCTGTCCTCCTGGTAACACCTTCCATCCAACTGGAGGGAGGCAGCCTGTTCTCCAGTGGGTGTACCCAGGGCACGGGCGCCGCCACAGTGACCGCCAGTCTCTGCTGGCACCCCCATAGCCTGCACTCTCACACACCTGGAATATGTCCTTGGATGCTCGATCAAAAACTTTGGAGCGGCTGGAGAGGAAGAGTACTTCAGTCTTGCCTTCTTCGCCGTAGATCTGCACATAGACTCGGGAAGTGGTGCCTGCGCCGCCCACATCCCCCGTCCAGACCTCAATCTCATAGTGGACCACTAGGTGGACACATAAGGGAGAAAAGGGGCATTTAGTAAGAGCAGCAAACACTTCCCCAGCCCTGCCCACCTGCGCTTCCCAAGCCCATCCCGCATGCCTGGCCCTTCACAGGTATCACCTTCTGCAACCTCCCCAGTACCATGAGCCAACAGTCTGCAGATGGACAAGCTTGGGTTTAGAGGAATTGAGTAGGTTGTGTAAAGGGCAAACCTATACAATCGACTGTCATATCACGTCACTGACTGCAGCACATGCGTCCTTGGAGGCCAGGAGTGAGGGGGACCGTGCAATGGCTGGCACTCTCTACCATCTGCCTGCCTGCTGTAGTTTGAATACTTGTTCCCGCTAAGACTCACACTGAAATCTAGCTGTGATTATAAGATGCAGAAGCTTAAGAAGTGATCAGGCCTTCTGGCTGAGATTGAGTGTGTCCCCTTCTTTCTCTGTCCCTATCTGCCGTGACAGAAGGCATCCAGAGGACTCCCACCAGATGCCAGCACATTAGTACTGAGCTTCCAGGGTACAGAGCTGCAAAGCAATTAGTTTGTGATCATCCCACATTATATAGTCTATAATACTGTACAGTACCGCTACCATACTACTGCAATACTATAACAAAAAAATAAATTAAATTATAAAGCTACTGATACTAGGCAGATACCACAGGACAAGAAGCAAAAACAGCATCTTTTTTTCCTTCATTTGAGGAAGGGACAAGAGGTGGGGATGACAGCGCTCATTTAAATATAAGCGCCTTTCAGAATACATCAATACATGGTCCTGCACAGGAAAAGCTGTGCATGTTTTGGTATTAGAGGGTGGCGGAAGCATGTCATTGGTAGGGAGCAGTAGAGGGCACTGCAAACAGAGTAGCTGTGTCTTCCTAAAGAACTGTGGCACTCTGTGTCCACTGATGTGAGTACACTGAGACTTGGTGGAAAAGAATATCAGGATTTCTTTTTAGGTAAAGTTAGGTGTGTGTGTGTGTGTGTGTGTGTGTGTGTGTGTGTGTGTGTGTGTGCATGGAGTGTCATCCTCTCTTTCTACCTTCATTTTTTGAGACTGGGCCTTTCACAGAAATCTGAGCTTCTCAACTTAGTCTTGACTCCCTGGCCAGCGAGCTCCAGGGTCCAGCCATCTCTTCTCTCTCTAACCCACTCGGCACTGAGACTGCAGATGCACACACCACACCTCGCTCCCCAGTAAGTGCTGGGGACCCTAGCCCAGCTGTCCCTGATTGCTCAGCAGGCCCATCTCCTTCTGCTGCAGTGAGGGCTCACATCACGGTTCTCGGAAGACAGGGCCAGGACCTTTAGCTTCTCAGAAGAAGATGCTCACCAAGCCGGTCTGCTCACCCTCCCCTCTCACCCTGTTCCATCCAGCCTAGGGTTCTCGCTTCCCTATAAGGCAATCTGCTCACTCCCTCACAAGGATAGACTTTGGTCTGTTTTGTTAACAGCGACCTTCACAAAGACCAAGGTAGGACTGGCTGGAGAAAACTCAATATACATTTAAAATGAAAAGGCCAACCTCCTCAGCTAGTTTTCCTAAAGAAAGATGTAGGTTATGCCATAAATTTTGCCCAGGGTTGAGAATATACACATCCCCTTTTTCTATAGTTTTCCTAAACAAAAGTTCTATCCACTGGATCCTCATCCTTGCCATCTGTGGAATGAGCCCTTGTTGCCTTCCAGACCCACAGTACTAGGGACAACAGGAACTCCCTGCTCCCACTCCCACCCATGTCTCTCTTCCACACCACAGGGAGATTAGACTCAGTCACCACATGGCCTGTCTTCTTCCTTTGACTCCTCCTCCCACTGATTCCATTATTCCTCCTCCCTCATTGGACCAGGGAATACGGAGATGTCAAGGGCCCACACAGCCTCTTCCGTACGTTTCTGAATCTCCACGACCTCGCTGGGGTAAAGCTCCACCTCCAGACGCCCATCCGCCTGGTTCTTATCCAGCCAGCGGTTGGCAGGGAAGGTGTACTGCTTGCCTTGGCGGGGCACACGGATCTGGACGCTGCCCAGGAACCAGCCTGCATGCATGCCTGTGCTGTCGTGCCCGATCACCAGCCTGTTGATCTGGAAGGAAACTCCAGAAGGGAGTGTGAACAGTGGTGTGCAGGAATATTCAAGCCTCCGCCTCCATCTCTCTGAAAAATCCCCCCCCCCACACACACACACACTGGGTCCTCCGGTGCCTTGGGAGAGGCTCTGATCTGGCTTGTCCAGGTAATCTGGGAATCAGGAACTGCCTACTCAGGTGGTACTTTCCTACCCAGAGGCTCCACCCCCTCCTCCTCAGCTGAACTCAATTTCAAGGTCAGCTGTGAGAAGCAAGTAGGGTGTAGAGCTGGGAAGAACTGTGGAATCGGTTAGGTCCTTCAAAATGAGGCTGTGGCTACAGGAGCAGTGAACTGCTCGGCACATCTAACAGCTGTTGCTGCTTTACTTCGGTTTGAAGTATTGCGGTAGTGTGCGCATTTCTGCATCGCTTCCTTGTCATTCCCTTCCTGTAGGTAAGACAACCTCTCCCAACATGGTGCTTCTGTATCTCACCCTCCTTTTACTCTTGGACCCAAGGACCACTGTTCTCTGTCCATTAACCGTCTGTAGTCACTTATTTGACACGGGCACATCTTTGCCTGTAGGCAAAGGCCTGAGAGCGCAGGTGGCCCCATCATCGTCCTTATGCGCATTTGGTTTCTCAGGGCTTAACAGTTTTTGTTGTTGTGGGAATGCTGTATATGGGCCAATTTTCACATAGATGGAATTAGCAGATGGCCTCCAAGAACTCTTCCAGGCCTGACTTCTTCTCTGTAATGGTTTGGGGTGGAGAGTAACCCTACCTATGCCTGGTGCCCAAAGTCCATATTTAGAAAATCACCTACCCAAGTCCTGGCTTTTGCTTTCACACATACTAAGGGCCCCTTTGATGAAACACTGTCACAGCTGCCACAGTTTAGTCTGTGGGGCACAGGCTCCTGAGTCTGCTAGGAGAAAACCAGCTCCGTTTATAAAGCCTGGGAGCACTCCGAACGCCCGACTAGGCAGAGGAGAGCGTCAGTGTTTCTCTGTGCTGCTGGGACTTCCGCAGTTCCAGGGAGAGAATAAAGAAGAGCTACGACAAGGGCAGCTGTCTGTTGTCGGGCATGACTGGGAGCTCCCAAAAGGCGGGGACTGCCACTCACTTCTACATCCCTTGGGACAGGAGGTGGAGCAATTGTTTAGCAGTATATACTGAGCCCTGACTATAAGTGTGTGGGTCTTCTTTACATAGTCAATGCTAATAATAATCCCCACAGCATCTCCATCACTGGGAATGAGAAAACTGAGGAAGACAAGGTTAGATAACTTGCACATGGCAAGTCGGTGGAAATGGTGGGCTCCCAAGCTCTTGGCCACACTATTCACTGAGGGAGTTTCACCAACATGAGAAGTCTCCATGGCCTTCTACTGAAAATCCCCTTCCCCCTCCCCTTAGACACCCAAAAATCCTTCAGTAAAGGGAATCAAATTGTCATTTCACAATTATTGATTTGACTTCAAAGATAAGTATGTTAGAAGTTCGTTAACCTCAAGGGATAGATGACTGCCACAGGATCCTTCCCTGGAGTGCAGACTGACGAGCTTGCAAAGGGTGTGCCCCACCCCAGGGCTCATCATGTGACACTCGGAGAGGCACAGTCAAATCTGGAACTGGGAAATATTGTCATCCCTTCTCTTTGGTTCTCCCTCCTCTCTTTCCCCTCCCTAAATCCAGTGTCCCCTTCTCCAGCTCCATGCTCCATCTGTAATCCTGGAACACAGGTAAAATGTTGGGGGTAAAGTTACTAAAAATGTGTATTACAGCCTCAAAGATGTTCTAAAAGCAAAATTGCTTATTTATCTGCAGCTGCTCTGGCCCCGGGAGAAACTAAATGCCTCACTAGTAACCTCTAAGCAGGCAGTTCTTTTCCTTCAAAATGGGCTCACCCTTGTGCGCATCAGTGCAGATGTGAATGTGAATGTGGACATGCGTAGGCCAATGTAGGAACATGGCGACGATATCACCTGATTCTGGGACAGATACTTACAGTCCCAATGTTCAGTGTCTCCAATGTGAACTCATCTACTCGGCCACGTTCAAAGTAGTCTTTGAGGTTGTTGTCGGAGACAAGCAGAACTTGCTTGATGGTGTCAGATTTCTCTCCATAGAGCTTGATGTACACCTTAGAATCTGTGCTGGCCCCGGAGACATTCCCGGTCTTCACACTGATGTGATAGCGAAAGTCTGAGCATGCCAATCAGAGAGAGACAGGAAGTTAGCGCCGGTTGTACAAGGAGCGAGGTGTTGGAAAGGGGGGGGGACAACCTTCATCCAGGGAAGACCCAGGCTAGGAGTCAGGACACTGGAGCCTGGAGTCCCAATCCTATAACTGGTAGCAGGGGCTCCCTCCATCTCTGTGGAGCCCCCTCATCTATAAGACCAGGGCCCTGCCTCTTCCTGTTCTGTAAGAGGTGAAGGTGCTCAGAGTAGTAAGTTTTAAGCAAAAACACCAACACTCCAGAGACTCCAAGCATCCCCAGAAATCCCCATCCAGCTTCTAATGGGCAAGGAACTGGTGCCAAAGGCACCGGAGCATCCCAGTACTTACAACGTTGGGCACACATTCTATGCTATTATTGCTAAGTACTCTCCTCCCAACCTTACAGGCAAGGGATGTAGAGCTCAGAAGGTCAGGTGCCTGCCACGAGACGGCGACAATAAAGTCACCTTCCAGGAGCAAATCCTTGGTGTTTATTTAAAGCTGCTCCCTCCCCTAATAGGACACCATGCAATGCTATCTCATTTTATCTCCCAGAAATCTCTGCACCAGCCTGTGTGCAGGGATAAAGAACACCAGCGGGCAGGATAAGTTGTGGGAGAACAGCAGCCAAGCTTTAGTTGTCCAGGCAGGATCCAGGTGTGTTTCTTAGACAAAGAAGAGAGAGTTCAAGGCCCGCCACTCATTGCTCCTGCAGGGTTTTCCTACTGGAACACAGTCTAGAGAAAGTAAGCCAGGCCCCATGCCTGGGGGCATCTGCAGCCACCTGTCAGCTCGGCTCTACCAGAGACATCTGCGGGCACTGGGAGAAACAAATCACTTTGCTGCTTAAAGACAGAGCAGGAACCAGAAGCCTTCTTCTCCAACTAGGAGTGCAGAAGGGTGGGTTCTCTACGTGGTGAAATGAGAGCCTGCTGAGGGGGGAAGGACAGCCATTTAAGGCAGAGACATTCTGGGAACTGATCCCAGTTCCATCAGCAACTGCAGGCCTGAGTGTTCTGGTCACGGAGTGTCCCCTTATCACAAACATGGGTGGCTTCTCGTGAGCTCCTTTCCAGTGCTTAGGCTCTGTGATGCTGGGCGCTACACTAGACATTCTAGTTCAACTGTGTGATCTGACCTTAGGAAAGGTAAGTATTAGCATCTACGTCTTCCAGGCTTGGTTTCCCCATCTGACAAAAGGACAACGTTAGCTCTGCCTCTTTTCGGAGTTATGGCAGGGCTCAGATGAGTGACACTCAGGAAGCAGGGAGTGTTGCGTTGTTGGGCTCTGGAGGTGTGTCTCTTTTAAACATTATCCAAAGCACACACTCAGACCGCAGCATCTGAGCACATATCACTAGCAAGGGATACTCCAGGGCTCCAGGACAATGCTCAGCAGTTTAAAAGTCCTCATTTAACAGCCCCTTTCAAATGCATTTCTGCTCACAAAGCAGGGGTCCCTGGGCTTGGTGCCATTGGCTGGTTTTATTGCTCTTATCACTCTGTTAACCCATATTCAGAGCCTAACACCAAGACCAGGTTTGGACTGGGTGTTCAAGCACAGACACATGAGAAGTTTCCAGACCTCCATCAGTGCCATTTTTCTCCACCACCCTGTGCTGCTTTCATGAAATAAAGTGAAGAAGATGTGTGTCTTTGAAGGTCTAGGTCCTGTTTCGCTGAGGAAAGGCAACCGTTATACCCAGGGGACACCCATCACCTGGCCGTTGGGACAACTCACTCTTGAGCGTGGCATTGCTGTCACTGGGTAGCAACTCTCGGACCAGCTGTCCATCATCCTTATCCTTATCCAGCCACCTTGGGAGAAATGGGGTGGGGTGTTAGTTCTTTGAGTGGAACAGGCAGACACCCCAACCATCACGGCCCCCATGCTGAGTCACCAGGAGGCCCAGAGTTTTGAGTTCAGCCAGAGAAAGTGGGTCTTTGAGATCTCCTAGCCAAGTATTTCAACCCAGACCAGAGGAAAACTTTCTGGAGAAGGCTGAGTGCCGGCTGAAATAGGAAAGATGATATGAGATGTGGGCCAGGGAAAGAGAGGGGAGCATCCCAAACGAAAAACGTATCCTGGGATGGAAGTTCAAGCGTTCCTGAAAGGCCCATGAAGACAGAATACAGCAAATGAGAGACAGAGCTGATGGTTAATGAGGGTGAACAAGGACAGAGCACAGGATCTGATGGCTGCTGTAGCCAGGAGTATGATGAAGAAGACAGGATGGACTGGATGAGGCACCAAGGGTGAGGCTGGACAAAGGAAGTGCTGTAAAGATTTAGAGAAAGGGGAAGGACCCGTGGTGAAGAAGTTGAATTGGAATCATCAAAGACAGATGAGATTTGACCTCAGGAAAAGGTAAGTCCATGGTTTTCAGGGCTCAGAGTTGATATCTATGACTCAAGATGTCACGCTGAGCAGTGGCTCCAGCCCTCTGTCGGCTGTGCCCCAGAGGAAGACATGGGGAATACCGCCAAGCCTGCAGAACAAGCCTACTGTGTAAGCATGAGTTGTGTATGTCCCATAGGCAGGCTGGTTTGTAACCCAGGGCCAATCACCGTTCTCTAGGATCTGACTTCTTAAACTATGGAGCATGACCTAGAGAGAGCCGTGGAGCTGAATGTGGGAACTGTGGAATTCAGGCAGCAGTAAAGAAGTTCTGGTGCACAACAATCCAAACTTAGTTCAAGAAACAAAGTAAATCCAAGGTGGCCATGCCTGCCTGTGCTGTGTGGGTGACTTCACTTGGCTCTGAGAAAGCATGCAGCATGCACGCTTTTCCTGCACGTGTCGTTACATGTGACACTAATGCAACCTGAAGCTCTTTGGCCCTGATTCACGACTTATGTTATGTTATATTATGTTATGTTATGAATTACAGTGTTTTACATTGTACATACATTTTTTTCTGCTCTTATAGAAACACAAAGTATCATTTTGGAACACAAAGACCTTTAATATTTAATAATTCCTACTGCCATTCCTCAGGAATTGCCAAGTTAGTATATCTCTGTATTAAATTATGTTAGAATATTTAGGGTTTTTTTTATAATTGTTTGAATTTCTGGCTTGAGTTTGACTTAAAAGATTATCAAATAAATGTTGCCTTGGGATTAAGACAGAATTTCCAACAATTTCTGAAATGATCCTAAACATCCTTCTGCCATTTTTTATTATCTATTCATGCAAAGCAGAGTTATCATCATTGCCAGCTAGAAAATCAAATTAAGATATTTGATATGTAGCGGGGTGGGGGGTGATGAGGGGAACTTGGTCCTGCCTCAAGTTGGTATGCCAGACTTTGTTGACTCCCCAAGGAAGGAAGGCCCTACCCTCTCTGAGGAGTGAATGGGAGATGGGAAGAGAGAAAATGGGGTGCAGGAGAGAGAGAGGAAGAATAAAGGTTGGTATATAAAATGGAAAGTAAATATTTTTAATAAAAAAACAAAAATCAAGATATCAGTCGATTCTGAAAAATATTGAAGGCACTCTACATCCTGCAGAATCAAATGTTCAGCCAATAATTAACTTTTTTTCTGTAAAATCAATAAGCATGGGCACTTCATTAGCAAAATAGCTAATTAATTTAAAACAAAATAATTAATTAAAATTTTTTATTTTTGTCTCTAATAAATGGTAAAACTATTTGTATAACAAAGAGTCATCTTATAACAAATTTCTTTGTGATTTATTGTCCATAAATGTTTACTTTGTATAGCTATATTATGGACCTAGACACCCAGGATCATATACAAATTTCTTGCACAAAAAGGGACCACGAGAGGAAAAACTTTAAGAGCTTTGTGTTAGAGAAATGCAGAGACCAAGACATTTTTTGTCTTGGCCACATATCTCCCTCTTTATGGCTTGGTGCTTTTCTTTAAAGCCCATTCCTTCACGGCCCTGAGAGGGCAGAGCTTCCTAAGCCTGTGATGAGGCAATATTCAATATTATAATAAGAAATATCTCTTCCATTCTAAGAGACTGTAACTTTTGCTGGCCCTCACAGGCAGGGTTGACAATACACCCTGAGGTCACTTGAGACTGTGGCCCTATTGTGTACAGCCTGTTTGCTTAACTTACCTTTAACAATATAACAACCAACCTCAACTGCCTTGGATTTCCCATTAGATTTTACAAACCAAGCTATGCATAACTGTAATCTTAAATTATCAGCTCTTCCAAGCCACTGGCCCAAGAGTAATATATCTGAGTTTATATATAAGTATGTTATGGTAATTATTTGCTGAAAACAGAAAATGGGCTGAAAGCCACCTTATAAAATGAATACCCACCGCAAACGCCAGAAGTGGCATTTGGATATAGTGTTTGTTTGTAATCTGGGTCAGCTGGGATAAATGACTTAATCCTTGTACAACTCAATATTCCTCATCCCTTCCCCCCATGTGATACTTTCTGTGCTGTTCAGTAAAGAGAGAGCAAAGCCCTTTGCTAGGGACATGAAGACACAGAGCCAGGAACAGACAAGTTCACAAGTATCCAAGCAGGTGAAGATTCAAACTCACACAGCAGACAGGGAGCACAGAAGACCCCAGGAGGGAGAAGTAAAGAATTCAAACTGGGCTCTCTCTAGGTTCAATTATACGAAGCATAAGCTTTTTAATTTAATTTTTCTTGGTGTTACACCTATGCATTATTGGCGACTTGAGTTTGTCATTAATGTATTCAAACCAACACTTAAGCCTATAAAGGAAGCCAGAGCCTACAGCTCATAAAGAAACCAAGGCTCCACCTCCTCCCTGCCCCTTCTAACACAGGGCTCAGGTATCCTGAACAATGACCCCTTCCCAGGGCCAATGAGACAACACCATGCTTTTCTCATCTCTTCGTACTTATTTTATACCCAGACCCCAAGGGCTCCCACTCCCCGGGATCATGTTGTCAGTTTGTATTAGTCAACACTAAAATGCTGATCGTTTATGTAGGCTTTAGGGCTGTGGTTCAGAACACTGGAGAGGTGAAGCAGAGACTTCAAGACACGAAGATTCCTGGTGCCATCCTCAGCATCGGAGACAGAGGATTTGGGGACTATAGACTGCTAGCTAGAGTCTCTTGAATCGAACCATTGGGACTTTCCCTTTCTCTGTCTTGGCAAGGTCACTGACAGCGCCGGCTCTGGCTCCGAAGTTACAACAGCCTGCAGGAGAGATGGCTGGGATGCTGCCTGCCCACAGATAGAAGCAGATAGGCCACCGGCCATCAGAAAATCCCGCCTGTTGCTCCATGCCCCTCCATTTACCTAGCCCCACCCCCTCCCAAGAGGTAAAAGGAAACCATGACACATGCTTTGTTGCTACCCAAACACTTGGATGTATTAATAGACACAGTTTTAAAAAGCTATTTCCTTTCAGCTTCAAATGCTCTAACCTAGTTTGCCATGAGGTGTTGCTAAACGGATGTCAGCATGCTGGTAGCTTCATGGCTCTTTCCCTGGAGCTCACAGGAGTGTGCATACTACACACACACACACACACACACACACACACACACACACACACACATTGAAAATAACTCAAAACGATTTTGCCCTCCCCACCATGAGAGTCACACAGCTCGGGTAAAGAATGAATCAGGGTGTGGGCTCAGGCCCCAAATTAATCTGTCAGTGCCCCATCCCCCCAGGGATTAGCACGGGTGAATGAGAGTCACTGGGGTTTGGCAAAACACTGAGATTGCTCCTTGTTGTAGAATGCCTCAATTGGAAACTTTAGGAATTGCCAGGAGCTGCTGGTTGTGCAAGGAATGCTTCAGAAAAATAGTGCAGAAATGCTTCCTCGCTCTTGAGAGAAAGAAATGCAAACAAAGTCAGACACTTTGAAATAGTGTGATCAAGCAAGAAATGTGGTCAGACTGTTCCGACAGAAATCCAGCCAGGTGGTGCACACCTTTAATCTCAACACTCATGAAGAGGCGGGCAAATCTCTGTGAGTGCGAGGCTAGCCTGGTCTACAGAGCAAGTTCCAGTTTCAGGACATCCAGAGCTACACAGAGAAACCCTGTCTAAAAAAAAAGAAAAGAAAAAAAAGGGAAAAGAAAAAGAATAGAAATGCAACTTATATCCATATTTCGTTCTGTATCTAACTAATCCTCTAACACATCACTTAAATTCAGAACGTGTCAGAGTTTTTATATTTGTTTTTGTTGTTTTGTTTTGTTCATTTGTTTCTCGTGAGAAAAACCATCATGTTGGCACTAGGTGTGCACTGGAGTGCCTCTGTCCACCAGGGGTGGGGTAGAAATGAGAGACTCAGGTCAATGCACCTCCTGCAAGGCCAGCTCTTTCTCTCATCAACTGTTAACCTCAACCACTATTTTTCTTATTGTTCCATGTAATAGGGCCAAGACAAAGGTGCGTGTACCTGAGGCATGGGAACTCGACATTGTCGCTCTCCGGCTGTCCCTCCTCTCTCACCAGCACCCTGTCCAGGTACCAGCCGCTGCCAGAGCCTTTGCCGTCGTGTCTGATTCTCACTCGCCTCACCTTCCTCATGGTGACAGACTCGATGGTAAACTCGTCGGCCTTTGGGAAAGAAAAGACAGTGAGGTCGTGTAGATAACGTCTCTCCTGAGACCCAGCACCAGCACACTACAGAAGTTCCAAGGCAGAGCTGAGAGGAACAGCTGTAATTCCTCCATGGCTACACACACACTACTACAGGGAACAGAAATAGAAAATACACACAGCCATCGTCTCCTTACCCCTCCCCAAGTGGACCAAAGCCTACCTACAGCTTCCTGCTCAGAAGGGCTTCACCAACACAACCTTCAAAAGCCCATCCTTGAGTTAGCTCAGAGTCTCTACTTGAATGCTCTCACATGCTTAGAAAAGGGTAAATGGAGGAAGGAAGGGCACAGAATATACAAATCCCCTCCACCTGTACGTCTCCACCATGCTCAGGTCCCTGAAACAATGATTCTTTACTGGGCACCTACTGTGCCTTGTGAACCACATCTGACCCCTACAGTGTATCAGTCCCCGTAATCTCCACAGTAGCCAGTCCTCTGTAGGCGTCCTTTCCCTCACTTTAGACACAAAGGAAGTGTGGCACAGGAGAGTGTAGTGAGTGGCCTAAGGCTGACTTTCCCTAGACCTGTTTGGTACCTTCTTCACTGCTTCAGACCCCTTTGGCGCAGGTTAAACCCATGTGATGGTTGTGGTAGCCTAGGGGCATACCTAACACATTGCATTGTGGCTAGCAATAGACTCAGTCCTTTCACACCCATGGACGGGGTGGGGGGGGGGGGGGGAAAGAGGAACAAGCTGCCCCTAATTGCCACACTTAACAGAGAATGTATATTATCTTCCATTTTCTTCCAGCCTGAGTCCTCTAGGACACACTTGAGATACCCAATGTCCTTCCCAACCTGAGGGATGGGTAGGAGACCACGATTTCTCCGGTGGCTCTCCAGCTTCTGGCTGCATAATACGAGGAGCCTTGTAGCTGCCATTGATGTTAGCAAATGATAGCGAGCCAAATTTGCTCAAAGATCCAATCCACTAGATAGTTCTGTGTCCTTCAAGTGGTTCCTACCTGGATGGAGTCCCTAGACCCCACTCTCCTCATCCAGACAGATGATACCCCATTGCTGAGGTCCTGACACTAACTACCAACTCTACTTTGACAGAGCCAGGAAGACAGGAGGACAAGGCAGGTGTGGACTGGGAGGAGGGCGGCACATCACTGCAACTTACATTGCCTTTCTCAAACAGGTCGGTGTTATTCCTGCAGTTGTAAAGCAGTCGCTCCCCTGTGTCCCCCACATCACCAAAAAGACAGAGGTAGACGTTGGCATCAGTTCCTGCACCTTCGAGTTCTCCCGTGCATACGGTCACACGGTAGCGGGCCACTGACAGACAGAAAGGGGGACACGGTTGGTCGGCTGCCTCTGCTCCCATGATGAAGCCCTACATCCACCTTTCAGCTGCTACCTAGGAGGACTTCATTCCTTAGCTCAACTTCCCAAACCCCACTGCAGTGAGCCACTTGGGAGCTGACTCATGCCCAGCTTGGTTTAGGCAGACCAGAGGCTCTTCATGCTCGTCAATCATCAGAAACCCATGGGAAATGTTTACAAGAATTCAAATTTCTGAGGCCTACTTCAGACCTCCCAAACCTTAACTTCCAGAGGTAAGACCCTTAAAGCTGAGTTGTTGACGAACCCCTTCTGTGAGCACCTAGAACTGGCTGGTGGTGTTCTGTGGAAATGGAGAGAAGGCAATAGCAGGGTGATGTAATTTAGAGGCAGTTCTTGGTGATGGACCAGATAGGCAATCAAGAGAAAGAGAGCTCATGTTTCAGTTCAGGCGGCGAGGGTTGTTGATAAGGGAGGAGGAGAGCTGTCTCAAGGTAAGTTTGGAATGGAAACCAAGGTTCTGTTCTGGTCACTATACATTTGAGATGCCAGTTTGATATTTACAAAACAGAAGTCAAACTGGCAGTTAAATGTGCCTGGGGGCCGGGCCTGACGAGAAGACTTTAGTCATCACAGGTAGATGCGTTCCATCTCAAGCCATGAAATCTGGTGGGACCAATGATGAAGAAGATGTAGACAGGACTGGAGGAATATTCGAAGACAAAGCAGCCCCAAACTCCCCAAATTTGAGTTTAAAACATTAATCTGTATATTTAATATTTTATATAAGATGAACTCTGAGTGGGAAAGAAAAATCCAAAGAGATTTACTTCTAAACACATCATAATAAAACTTCTAAGAGTCAAAGACAAAGAGGAAATCGTAAAACGGAGCAGCAGGAAATTGAGCACAAGGGATACACAATAAAAATTAATAGTCAACTTTTCATCCAGAACTATGGAAACCAGAAAGCAGTGGGATGCTCTCAAGAAGTGGAAAGAAAAAGAGCATTATCCAAGGATTCTACATCCACTAAACTACTCTTCAGGGATGAAAGATAAGTTAAAGCATTCCAAAACAAGCAAACACTTTAAGAATCTTCCATCACTAAAAGCCGTCCTCTATAACCAATATTAACGGGCCATCATCCCATTAGACAGTAGAGAGTGGCTTGGATTCACCTGGACTGTTATGAGTCATGAGGAAAGAGTAAGTGATAATGGCAAAGATGCTGTGCATGTATTTTTTCATTTTAACATCTGTCTTCTCTCACTTTATGTAAAAACACAACAGCGGAGAGCAGTAACTATAAAACTGCACTGGTGAGTCTTTCACATGTAAAATACAACATTTCAGTATAGGCCATCACATATCCTAGCAAAGATGTAATTTAAATGACAACAACCTAATGAAGGAAAGTGCATGGGAGTGAGGTTTGATAGAATACTAAAATGAACTAGGTTGTTCTAAGTTAAGCTGTGGATTGCAATTTTGGGGAGACTACTTAGAAAGTAACTTAAATAATAGATAGTAAAAGAAGCAACAAAGAAAGAGAGATGGTGTTTAAAAAATCCACATAACTGTTAAAGAAGGCAATATTGTAAGAATTGAAGGAACAAAATACAACATATAGAAAACATGACAGATGTAAATCTTACCATATTGATAATCACATTAAATACGATATATTACTTGTAAATGGACTTAATGCTTCAATCAAACAAAGCCAAGTATGATGGGCAACCTGCAGAGATGGAAGCCAATGATGTCACACACACAACCAGCCAGTGTAAGATGTATGGGTGACAAAATGAGGGTGTCTAGGGAGAGCCTGGCAGGCTTCGAAGGAGGTCCACACATATCTAGAGGCAGCAAAGAGCTTGAGAATTTATGGTTGGTAAGGGGAGAGGTTGGAGCGAAAGGATCCTGGAATGGGCCAAGTAGCACAAAATTTCTACCAATGCCAAGGGACAGAGGACCCATGTATTCCCACCAGTGTGCCTAGGTATGGGGCAGAAAGGACAAGAAAAATAACAGAGTTGAAAATTGTCATTGGTTGAACATCAACAGGAAATCTGTTATACAGAGACTGTCAAAATGGATATGGATCTAAGTATCTTATCACAAAGACTTATACTTTTGATCCTGCAACATAAATAGGTTGAAAGTAAAGAATGACTACCAAAACTGCCTTGAGATGAACAGACTCATAGAAAGTAAAAAGATTGGGTAGTTAAAAAGAACTACCCACAAAGAAAAGCCGATGCCCTTACTACATGTCTTACTGCAGAAATCTACATTTAAAGATTAAAAAAAAATTTTTTCTGAAGATTGCATAACAAGAGTAGGTATATTAGTTTACTTTTCTTCTAATTGTAGCCAAATACCTGACAAGAAGAAGCTTAAGTAAACAAGAAGATGTTTACTTTGGTTCTGGGTTTCAGGCCATCTTGGCAGGAAGGCATTCGGAGAATGGCGGGAACAGGAAGCTGCTTGCTCATGAAATGATGGGCCAAGGATCAGCCACATGAGTGTGCGTGTTCAGTTCACTTCCTCCTTTTCCTCTTTTGCTCCATCCACCCCTCGGCTTGTGTGGTGGTTTCGAACCATTCTCTGTGGGTCTCTCTCTTCCTTAATTAATCTCCTCTAAAATTCCCCAAGACACACCCAGAAGTATGTGTTGGTCACCATGGTGATTCTAAACCCTGACAGATGGACAGTGAAGACTACCCATCACAAACCAACCCTTTGTCAACCTGACATTTAAACACATGTCTACAGTGTTCTAACCTTGATCAAAAGGCTTACGCCCATCTCCTAATACCGAATGTGTCCACATCTTCTTATTCCCTGAGTAGAATCTTGTGACTCAGGCACACGTGTAAAGTTCCTGATTTGCTATAACGTCACTCGTACCCTTGAACATTTGCAGTCACACCGTCCACACTCGCGCTGTCTGTGACTTGTAGCCAGGTGCACACTCCTTTTCTTTCCAAATCACGTTTTTGGGTTCTTAGTTTGGTTTTTGGTTTTGCTTTGTTTTGTTTTTTCACTTTTTTCTGGTCCACTTTTTGCTTGAATTCTCATTCTAGACCTCAGTAACGGCAGTGAGCAGTAAGCCCTGCCAGAGCCTGCATGCTTCTCATCGAGGAAGCTGCTCCATGGCTTTCAATGCAGCCCCACTTGAGTTTTCAGAACATAAGTGGAACGCAGCCAGTACATCAGAACATAGCGTGCGTGACCTCTAGCACCATTCTCGATAGCTTCATCGTTTCCTCTAGATTCTCATAAGTAGAACCTTGTCTGCCAACGTTTCTAATGGCACTCGGTCTTCCTCTCTCTGGCTGCAACAGCTCACAGAATTCTAGGGCTTCCCTTGCCTTCACTTCCAAACTCATCCAAATTCTTTCCACAAACCAGTCCCAGAGGCGTATGGACCATGCGCCCAGGCTTCCCACTATCATGTGGTGATATTTTGTTTATGGTCTAACAAATAAAGTTTGCCTGAGGGTCAGAATACAGCACTAGCCATACCAGCTAAGCCACTAGAGGCCAGGCAGTGGTGGCACACCCCATTAATCCCAGGACTCGGGAGGCAGAGGCAGACAGATCTCTGTGAATTCAAGGTCACCCTGGGCTTTGTGAAACTGACCCAGTCTAAAAGAGAAACAGAGCTCACACAAAGGTGATCCCAGCACTTGGGATCCCATGCCTTTAATCCCAGTACTAGGGAGCTGGAGAGAGGAATATAAGGCAGGAGGAAACAGGAGCTCAGTCAGTCTGAGGTTGCAGTCTGAGGCAGTCAGTCTGAGGGGGCAGGCTAAAAACAGAACCGCTCTTTTGCTCTGAGCACTGGTAGAGGTAAGAACTCTAGTGGCTGCTCTGCTTCTCTGATCCTTCAGCTTGCACCCGACAACTGACTCCACATTTTCATCATTAATACCAATTAGAATCCGTGCTGTAGCAACAGAGACAGCCTTGCTCCCAGGTGCCAATCTTCTAGAGTAGCTGTTTCTCTCATTGTTGTAGCCAAACACAAAAGCAAGTTCGTGAAGAAGAGGCTTGCATTGGCTCACAGTACTGACAGAATACAGCCCGTCACACAGGGAGGTGATGACAGGCAGTGGCTCGTGGTGACAGCTGTAGGAGTGGTGGCTCCTTGTTCAGAGCTGATGGCACAGATGGCAGCAACAAGCTAATGTGTAGATGACTTTTTCCTGTTCCCTCTTTCGTTCCGTTTAAGCTCCAAGCCCACGGGGATGCCATCTCTTCAATGAGGGTGGTCCTTTTCCTTCTCTGGAATGACCTAAGAGATACACCCAGAGGTGCATCTCATTCTCCTGGGCGACCCATTCCAGCCAAGTTTGTAACAAAGGTTCGTGGTCATCTTAGGGAGCTCATTTTATGGCACCCACACATTCTTGGTACCAAAGCTGGCAATGGCATCATAAGAAAATAAAACTACAGACCGATATCTTTAATGAATATAAATGCAAAATTCTCAGCACAATAGCTGCAAATCAAATATTGCAATGCAGATAAAGAGTTACACGCTGTGGAATTCTTATCAGGTGGGTGCTAGCCACCCACAGGCCAGCCTAGGCCCTCAAACCCTAGGCTGCTGAGAAGTCACCCATGGGCCCACCCACCCGATGATGAGCAGGTCTGAGAAGCAGAGTGGTTCACGAGCTGTGGGAAAGGCAGAAAGGAAGGAATGAAGGCGGTGCAGAGCAGGCTGGTGTGGGAGGCCTGCTTGTCACCAGGGCCACGGTGACATCTGGGCCTGGGCCACTGCCATGGACCACGCCTGGGTCTGTGGCCCTACAGCAGCCAGGGTGTAAGTCGATGTCTGTAAAGAGGTGTTGGAGAAGCAGGAGAGATGGAGGAGTGAAGAGGTTTTTGCTTTGTTTTAGTTTGATTTTTAAAATATTTTCTTTTGTGGGGGCACTGCAGGGGTGAGCAGAGGATATTGGGGGACTGGGAAGTGAGCAGAA